CACACACACACACACACACACACACACACACACACACACACACACACTCACTCATTTTATCAGTTCTGTTTCTCTGGAGAACACTGGCTAATAAATCACCTTTGTTTACATAGTTGCTATCTGGTCCTGAGTCCCTGTAAGGGCTGCATTGGCTTTTGGAGGTCACAATTAGCATGCTGAGATTCAGGGCTGGCAAATTACTGAGGCCAGATGTTCTGGTTATATAGGTGTGTATCATCATGCCTAGTTTTGTTTTTTTTTTATGTGTATGGATATATGAGTGTTTTAGCTGTGTGTATGTCTGTACACCATGAGTATGGCTGTGCCTTTAGAAACCAGAAGAGGATGTTGAATGCCCTGGAACTAGAATAACAGACTGCTGTGAGCTCATGTGAGTGCTGGGAATCAAACCCAAGTTCTCTGGAAAACAGTGATCATAACCAGTGGCCTAGTTCAGTGGTTCTCAACCTTTTTTCCCACAGTTTATTCATTATATATCTGGCTGAAGCTCCCTCCCTCAACTCCTCCCCAGTCCTACCCTCTCTCCCTCTTCTCCACTATCCTTTTCCTCTAGTCCACTGAAATGGGGAGTTTTCCACCTTTGCCATCTGCCCATAGTTTGTCAAGTCTCATCAGGACTGCCTGGATCCTCTTCCTCTGTGGCCTGGCAAGGCTGCATCATCAGAGGCAAGTGATCAAAGAGCAGGCAACCGAGTTCATGACAGAGGCAGCCCCTGCTCCCCTCACTCAGAGATCCACATGGAGACTGAGTGCCAACTGGCCATATCTGAGCAAGGGGGTCTAGGTCCTCCCCATGAATGGTCCTTGGTTAGTGCATCAGTCTCTGCAGGAACCCCTGGGCTCAGATCCTTTAGCTTTGTTGGTCTCCTTGCATGGATCTTGTTCCCTTCACGTTCCTCTATCCTTACCCCCCTCTTCTTCCATAAGACTCTCTGTGCTCTGCCCAAAGTTTGGTCTTGAGTCTCAGTATCTGCTTTAATACCCTGTTGGGTGGAGCTTTTCAGAGTACCCTCTATAGTAGGTTCCCATCCTGTTTCCTCTCTTCCACTGCTTCTGGTGTCTATCCTGTTTGTCATTCGGAATGAGATTTAAACATCCTCTCTAGGGTCCTCAGTGTTCAGCTTCTTTAGGTCTGTAGATGGCTGTCCTGTATTATACGGCTAATATCCACTTATAAGTGAGTGTATATCATGTGTGTCTTTCTGTTTCTGGGTTACCTCACTCAGGATGATATTTTCTAGTTCCATCCATTTGCCTGCAAATTTCATGATTTCCTTGTTTTTAATTGCTGAGTAGTTATTATTGTGTAAATGTACCACAATTTCTGTATCCATTCTCCCATTGAGGTTGTTTCCAGATTCTGGCTATTACAAATAAAGCTGCTATGAACATAGTTGAGTAAATGTCCTTATTGAATGGTGGGGCATCTTTTGGGTATACGCCCAGGAAGGGCACAGCTGGATCCTGAGATAGTGCTATTCCCAATTTTCTCATGAAACTGAAAAGCTTCTATAAAGCAAAGGTCACTGTCAACAAAACAAAATGACAGCCTACAGACTGGGAAAAGATCTTCACCAACCCTACATCTGACAGAGAGCTAATATCCAGAATATATAAAGAACTCAAGAAGTTAGACACCAACAAACCAAATAATCCAGTTTAAAAATGGGGTACAGAATTCTCAACAGAGGAATATTGAATTGCAGAGAAACACTTAAAAGAAATGTTCAACATCCTTAGTCATCAGGGAAACGCATATCAAAACAACTCTGAGATTCCATCTTACACCGATCAGAATGGCTAAGATCAATAACTCAAGTGACAACACATGCTGGAGAGGATGTGGAGAAAGGGGAACCCTCCTCCATTGCTGGTAGGAGTGCAAACTTGTACAACCACTTTGGAAATCAATCTGGTTCTCAACCTTTTTAATGCTGCGACTCTTTAATACAGTTCCTCATGTTGCAGTGACCTCCAACCATAAAATTATTTCATTGCTACCTCATAACTGTAACTTTGCTACTGTTATGAATCATAATGTAAATAACTGGTATGTGACACCCCCCCCAAATGGTCACAACCCACAGGTTGAGAACCGCTGGGTTCTAGCGGGAACTACTGAGCTGCCTTTCCAGCCCGCAGGCTTAGTTTTTAAAACTCCAACAGAAAGGCAAAATGGTCTACCCTCGAGTCCATTGTGCTCACCAGGACTTTTGCTACATACTCCTGAGGGAGTCTTTTGTATAACAGCCCCTCTCAAACACTAGACTTAGTCTGTGTTATCTGTTCTCTTGAGCATCTTGAGGAGAAGGAAAGCTTGTACCTGAAGTATTAACAGCAGGTAAGGAAGGAGGGGGATTGTGGCGCTGCAAGCTTTACCTGGGACCGGAAAGGCAACACTGAGCTCTGGAGAGGAATGGAACAGTCTGGGGCAGTCTGGCCCCACTCTACCACCCACTGCTCCACTGACTTCCCTTCATGGCTGTTTTTTTTTGGAATAAGGTTTGTTTGGCCTGAAAAACCTGTCCTCTCTGCATTACAGCTCTGCAGTCTGAATTGTCCTAGGAGCCTTGACCTGGATCTTGTCTGGTTTTCATTTGTTGTTTTAGCCTTTTTTATTTTTCTTAAGATGGTTTCATGCTGTGGTGCCTCTGCCTGGAACCTACTATGTAGCACAGACTAGCCTCAAACTTGTAGAAATTCTCCTGCCTCAACCTCTGGGGTGCCGGGATTACAGGCATTTCAGACCTGTATTTGGTGCTGAGGATCAAATCTCAGATTTCATGCATGGTAGACAGGCACTCTGCTACTGATCTGTGTCCCAAGACCTGACCCCCAAACCTGAACTTGTAGGTTCCGGTTTGAAACAGGCCCCTCGTGTAATGGACATTCTGGAAGACCAGTATGTCTTTCTGGCTGCTGTGACAAATGTATAACTCTTCTGATATTGTTTGTTAGTGCTGTAGGGTAATGAGAAGGACCTGGGACTGTGAGAGGTGAGAACAGTCAAGGACTCCCTGACTCCTTCCAGCTTGGGATCTGAGAATTTTGTTCTGGAGAGATGAATCCAGGAGCCCATTGGTCCTGGGGGTCAGGGATCACCCTGATATGGCACAGAAATCCTGCTAGGGACTGCAGGCAGGCATGAAGACATAGAATGACAGAGTCAGAGGGCCATATTAACCCATCACCACTCTCTCTGACCTAGTTTAGGACCACCAGTCTGTTGATAAGGGGAAGAAAGGTAACACATAAACACAGCCAGGGAGCAGAGCTGAGTTATCTGGGCCATGAGACGGATGAAGAAGAAGAAAGCTCTCCCTGTGGATTTCGGCCCATTTCTTTTTCCACTTCTGTGTTTGAGCTGTGTCCTAATTCTTTCTTGTTACAAGTCTGCTAGGGGTATTTGAGCACAAGATGATAGAGACTGAATTCCAATGTCATTAATTTCATCTGGGACAAAGGGCTAAGGGCAGGTCCTGGGTGTGTGCCTTCAAACAGGATTGATGGCACACTTACTGACTCTTTAAACAGAGCAGAGAATTGTAGCCTTCTGAGAAATGTACAGCTCCTTTCCACAGCAGCCTGTTCCCATAACACATGTTTTAAGCATTCACATGGAAATGTGAGCCTCTATCCATCCTCTGATTTGGGACAAAGGAGACTGAAACCCTACTATCTAATAACACTGGCAAGCATGGCAAGTGCCCTAATCAAGGCCCAGATAAGATGGATAGATTATCCAGTTGGCTACTGAGAAAGAGGTGAGATGAAGGGGTGGGTTTGTCTCGTGAAAACTGTTCTACCAACGGCAGATTTTGAAGACTTGTGTCCTAGTTTGCTTTCTATTGCTCTGATAAACACTGTGACCAAAGGCAACTTGGGGTGTGTAGGAGGGGTTTATTTCAGCCTATAGCCTACACTCCGTCACGAAGGGAAGTCAGGGCAGGAAGCTGGAGGCAGGAGATTATGGAGGAATGCTGCTTACTGGCCTATGGCTTGCTCAGTCTGCTTTCTGATACAACCCAGGACCACCTGGCCCAGGGTTGGCACGTCTCACAGTGGGGCTGTGCCCTCCCACATCAACAATCAATGTTTAAAATGTCCTACAAACTTGCCTGCAGGCGAATTTGATTGAGATGTTTTCTCAACTGAGGCTCTCTCTTCCCGGCTTAAGTCAAGTTAACAAAACAAACAAAATGACAGCAAAAAACCAAACCAACACAGGGAAACTGCAAATGCGTAATCTGCAACCGCCCTATTTTAAATAACAGATTCTCTCACAGCAGCGCAGTTTTACACAGTATGATCAAATTACTTGATCGAGAACGCTAAAAGCAACAGATAAGTGAAAAATGATGCCCGCCGCCTACAGAGGAGCAGAGAAAGGACGGCAGCAGATATCCCCTGGAAACTATGTGTGTCCGAGGAGAGGAAAAGACCGTGAAAAAACAACTTTAAATTACTGACAAAAAAAAAAAAATCACACGAGGCAAAAATGTATCTGATAAAGTGAAATGAAAACTTCCCCAGATGTGCAAAAGCAGAATGAATCTATCAGTACACTCCAGGAAGGACTGAATCATGCAAGCAGAGGGATAGAAACAGGAGCCAACCAAAGAATAAAGAACGGGAGAAATGCTGGCTATGTAGGTAAATGTAACGTTTCTAACCAAGCAAACCCCTCACGGGTGCTCAGAAGCTTGCTTCTTAATGGCCTCCACTCCAGGTGAGGCTGATAACCAAGACCAGCACGGCACCAGTGAACAACATAAATGCAGGGGGGCCATGCTAACATGCGACCAAGAGGATGTCTAATAGAAGGGCGTCACTGCTAGGGATTGAGAGGGTCATTGCCTCAAGAGGCTGTGAAAATCGTAAATGTTTCTGCACCTAGTGACAGAACCTCCAAACCCACAAAGCAAAACCATTGAAACTGTATGAAGAAACAAACACACCCACCATAGAAGCTGGAGATATCAACGTCTCTCTCACCCGATGAAGCGGGCAGGTAGACCGCTGGTTATGAGAGAGAAGGCCTGCGCCACACCATCCACTGACTCTACTGTACTCTGTAAATTATTCCACCGGCAGCTACAAAATACCCATCACTCTCTGGTGAACATGACACACCATGGCAGCTGATACTCACGTCCACAAAAGAAGCCTTGGTACATTCGAATACATTCAAGATAGGCATACATTCAAGCAAACACACACATAAAATAAAACCAAATCTTAACAAAGTAAAAAAAACGACAACTTTTCAGGTGGGTGTGGTGATGAACGCCTTGAATCCCAGCGGAGGTAGGCAGATTAGGCATGGAGACCTGTCTGGAGAAGCACCAGGCTGTCCTGAGGCAGAGGAAGGATGGACAACGGGTGACTTTATTGCAGTTTCTATAGGAAGAGATGAGCCAGTCAGGACAGGCAGGCTGCACAGCTTTGGGGAGGGTTAGGATAAGTGTTGTGGGCCCTGTGGTGATGAGGACAGGTAGATAGTGGCTTGGAATGTCGGCATCCAAGAAAAGCAGTGGTTGGGGCATGCAAAGTCAACATTTATTCACCTATGGACAAGCATAGTCTTAGGAGAAGGCCAAGACGGATGAGGGTATAGACAGAAGGTCAAGTCAAGAAGACTGAGTTGGACCGGTGGGTTTTCTTGTTCAAGACATGAAAACATGTGTACATAAAGTAGATGTTACAGAGTAGAGCTATGGTGGATAGATTGGGGTCTCCTGGGAGTGGGGAAATGCCTCAGATTTGAGAGTCAGATACCCCAAGTCCCATGAGACAGAGCTCAAGCAAGACCCAAAATGTCTATGATTCTATCCAATGGTCCTCCTGGGACTCATGTCTGTTACCAGCAGTCTACAACTCTAAGAGTACCCAGACTCTCGTGCCCAGAGCAGAGTCAGCATGGCAAAGATCTCAGTTCCTCCCATGGAAGGCTTAGGGCAAGGCCCAAGCAGTGTTCTCTTGGAATGCCTTGAGGGCCCTGGGCCTTCTCCCTGGGGGACACCTTCCCTTCACAGCCAACCTCAAGTGTCACTTCCCAAGCTCTTCCGATTCTCTTTTGATCAGACATCTCTGGACGTCACTAGGGGGCCTCACTCCTCAGCCTTCTCTCCCTTCCGTCTCTCCCACATGAGCTCTAATGGTTCCTCAGCATTTGCATGCAGATCACTCTCAAATTTACCATTTTCCCGTTCCTTCCAAGCCGCAGATCTGCAGCTCAACTGCCTTCTTCCACATCTCCACAACAAAGCCAGAAACACCCATTCATCCCCAGCCCAGATCTCTGCCCTCATGTGCCAACAACACCCTGCTCACTTATACCCAAGTTAAAATTGAGAAAGGAGTCAGAACTGCTTAGTGCCATCCATTCTTGGACTTCTCAATGATCTTCCCTGAGCCAGCTCTGCTCACCTTGCACAGCCCACTACAGAGCATCCCTTTGCAAGCTCAAGTTCCACTGCCCTTCAGCTTCTCCATTCCTGCCATGACCACTTGTATTTCTGGTCCTCCTGCCTAGAAGAAACCCTTTTCTTCTATTAGCTGAAGCATACACAATAAGGAGCTGGCTGCTACATCTGACCTGTGTGTGTGTGTGTGTGGGGGGGTCCTAGGTGTTCCTAGCACACACTCAACCGGAAGACTGCTACATGTGATAGGCTATTCCACTCTAAGTTTGCCCCCTTATGGGGGCTGTGGTGGACCCACCTAGCTGACATGACCCTGCCCACAGCTCCATGTTCCTCAGAGCCAGCATCTTTCTTATGCACCTCTCTATCCTGCATCAGGAACTCATTAGCCTTTTTCTTCAAGGGCAAAGACTGAAGGTGTCTGCTCCAAGTACAACTGTCCTTGACATGACATGTGGCGGGCACCTTGAGTACAACTATTTGTTACTAAAGCCACAGAGAGCCAGAGGTGTGCTCACTTGCCAAAATTTTTAATCATATTTCCCATTTAGGCAAAAAAAAAAAAAAAATCAGGAGGGTTTGATGTTGCTTTTGGTTTTTCCTCCTGCGCTCTTACCGTGGCTTTGCAATACTTCCAAATATCCTTCCTGAACAAGGAAAGACAGACACACAGCAGGCGGCTGCTGTTACTGAACTGTAGGTTTTTATTAGAACAATCTTTTTCATAGCTGTAAGCAGAATGTTAGAATTCATTAAGGTCACTCATGTCTTTCCTCCGCACAGAGAGGGATGGAGGAGGGAGAGAAACCCTTCACACACGCCTAGAGTCAGCAGAGCAAAGCGTTTCGGCAAATGATTCATGGAGCCTGTAGACATTAATGAATTGGGCACCTGAGGGGCTGAGGTATGTCAGCACAGACAGAGGAGTCCCAATACCCTGTGTTCTCCTGGCTGTCTCCCTGTTTCAGAACCTTCAACATCTCTTCTAGCCTGGACAGGTGGACACAGAGCATTCGTTATCTCCACTTAGATCCCAAAAAATCCACTGAAGACAGATTACGTTGTATCAGCTTGTAATGCTTCCTGCAAATCAAACCCCAATTACACCCAGATTTGTATAAATGCCCTTGTGGTGTGTGCTCTTCAGAAGGTGACCGGCGTGAATCACAGCAGTGCCGCTCCCATCCAGCAACCATGGTTTTGCTGGAACCTCCAGGGCCAACTCCATGGAGAGAAATTATTTTTTAATGCCCATTGGGCAGGAAACCCCGGTGCCCCCAAGGCCACAGTAGCCATCTGGGTTCTTGCTTAGGTATTGCTGGTGGTAGTCTTCAGCATAGTAGAACACTTGTCCCTCTCGGATGTCGGTGGTGATGGGGCCAAAGCCATGCTTCGAAAGAACCTGTGGAGAGAGAGGGAGAGACCTCAGGACCTAATGTTGGACACAGGACTCCAGCGCAGGAGGAGTATGGCCAGTAGGAGAACACATAGCTTAGGTCATGTGCTGGCTCTACCCTTCCCTGGTATAATTCTAGATGGGTACTTATCAATCTGCCTGGGTGAATTGGGTCTTGAAACTGACCATGCATTTATTTGTTTGCTTGTTTGTTTACTTACTTATTTGTATGTGTGTCTGTGTGTGTGTGTGTACATGTACACTTGGGAAAGTTAGTGTTCTCTTTCTACCACAGGGATTCCAATGATTGAACTTAGACTGCCAGGCATGGCAGCAAAGTACCCTGATCTCCTTGCTTTAGAGTCTATGAGTCAACGTTTGTTTGTATAATTATGTTCTGCTCGCTGCCCCGTAGCTGACAGGAGTTCTGCTTTTGGAAGGCAGTACCAAACCTCCTCCAGGGTAGCAGCAGGGCCCCGTGGGCTCCCTGCTTGTCCACGAGGAAAGAGCACCAGAAAGACAAGCAAGCCAGGGGCACTGTGCCCAGCTCAGGGACAGGCCCCTCCCACTCCTGCTTTGCAGAGCATTTATGTTCTGTGGTTCTTGGAATCTATGCACTGAGCTCTGGGCCTGGAACCTGGACATCCAAGTCAGAGGAGGACATGGCCTGTGGGCCTGTGTCAGCCCATCAGGGCTCTCTGTGACCCAGTTTGAGTCTTGGTGGCATCTGCTTCCACAGGCAGGAAACACGTCAACATAAAGTGGGGGAGGAGAGCAGAACTATTTGGGGCAGGATACAGATTAGGAAACAGACATTGCTCCCTGTGGATCTCAGCCCTGCCTTTTTCCCTTTTGGATTTCAGCTGTGTTCCTATTCCATCTTGCTGCCAGTTACCCTGAAGTATTCGAGCGTAAGGCATTAGAGCAGTGGAGCCTGGGTTCTGATGAGGTGCCGGCCAGGCGGCTGCTGGCCTATCTGAGGTGAAAACTGCCAGTTAATGGATCCCACCTCTGCCCCACTCACTACTTCAGGCTTCCTCTGCTCAGCCCTCTTAACAAAGAGGCAAATTCACTGAATTAAGGCCAAGAGGGCCTGGAAAGAGTGAAGATTAATGTCCTTGTCAAGGCCTCAAGGCCTGCAGATGGACCTTGAAATGCAGAGGCAACCAGGTTTATTGTTTGTTTTGTTTTCATTATCATTGTGGTTTTGGTGTTAGAAACGAGAGCAAGAAATCATTCTAAATCCATTTAAACTTATTCTTTACACTACCAATTGCTGAGGGTTTACTAGATGCTAGTAAAATGACTGATGTGAGTCACAGCAAAGACTTTCGGGCAAAGACTTTTTTGTGTTAATTTCCAGCTCACGGCAGCCACCGGAAAAAGCCTTGTGTTGTCACCAACCATATAAAAGTGCATGTGAGATCATGCGCCCAGATCCCTGACAGGCTTGGGTGGTCTGGGCCCACAGAGGCAGGTTACCTGGAGACCACACCACCCAGGTTCTAATGCCAGCGCCCGCCCCACTTTCTATCCCATTCATGGGGGAAACCAAAGTAGAATCTGGTGGCTTGACACAAAGAAAAGACGAGCTTCCCAAGGCCTGGCCATTAGGACAGGTGCAGGCGCCTCCAAGGAGGCTCACCTGTGACTCTGTCACATCTCCTCCTGGTCACCTGTGAGGGGTTTTTGTTCCTGGGCTGTGGGCAGTTGAGGCCTTGTGGCAGTAAGTTTTTGTGGCTGGGTGATGACTCCACATGTTAGAATCTAGTGCTTTTCTGAGCTCTGACTGCCCTTCAAAGGAGTCTGCGAACGCCCAGTCCCCTCTGCAAACTCCTTCTCTGGAATACCTTGAAAGTTCTCTGCTCCATGGTGGTACCTGAGTTTTCAGAGAAGGGGAGCCTCAGGAGGATGAGGACTTGGGCTGGCAGCTGCTGACATGGCTACATCAGCCAGGAGCAACCTCCCTGCAGGGAGGATGGGTGTGTCATCGACTCGTCACCAGCATCTGGATGTGCAGCTAGTTCTGGGGAACAGGGTGGTGGCGAGGACGGGATATTCCAGTAAAGGGCAACCCCATGCCACAACTATACTCTCTGCTCCAGGTGGCAGAGAGTTTGCAGAAAGAAGGGTTTGACATTCCTGGCCCAAGGCCACCAAAGGGGGTCAGAGCTCTATGACTCCAACAGCTCTGCGCTCTGTGCCTGTGTCTACACACTTGAGTCAAAGGCCTGAGCGGGTGACATTCACACCTTCTTGGTCACTGCCCAGAAAGGCACATACCTTAGAGAAGCACACACACGTTGGCCCTCAGAGAGCTCTGTGTTCTCACTGCAGAGCCATCTGATTAGCTTGAACCTTGAACCTATCAGGCCTCATGCTCTTTGGAAAGGAACTCCTGTTTTGACCTCAACTATGTTGCCACACTATAGTCAAGGGAGTAAGGGAGTCCTCTGCTTCCTTCTCCCCTTCCCAGGTCACACAGGTGTCTATTCTTGGCCTCCTTTGGGTGGGTCTGCTCTTGGGAAGTTGGACAGGGCCTGGCTCCTCCTCCTCCACTGCCTACTCGTGTATTCTCTTTTTCACAAATGATGGTCCTCGTATGAAAGAGTGGCCATCCCACACGAGGGGCCTTCTGAAATCTCCGTGAGGCTGGGCTGTGGGGAGAGGCCTCTCTGAACCCTCCTGTTCTCACAGGCTACCCTTCCCACCTAGGGCACACCAGCTGGGCAGTGCTGGGGAGCAAGGGGAAGACAGCAGGACTGGGACTCAGGTAGTACCAGTCTTGGCCACAAGATGGCAGAAACTTCATTCATAAAACCTCTTGGAAGCCAAAGGCAGCAATTCTGAGAAGACTGCGGGCCACCTCCTTTGCCGCAGCCCCACCCACCCTAGGAGACTGGTGCTACCTTCAGGCCCTACTGGCCACCTCTTGGCACCGAAATGGGTCCTGGGCAGGAAGACTGACGAGGCTGGCTCAGATGTGCCAGGTTCCTGTGCTGGACTAACCCCTGCTCCTAACTTGCAGGCAGCCCCAGCCTGGTTCATCAGGTGCAGCTATCCTTGGGCCACAGGCCTCTGCCAGGGCCATTTCTTCAGGAGGAGAGTGTCATCTGGCCGGACCACCCCCACTCCCTTCCCATCTACCATCTCGCTGACTCCAAGACAGTGACTTGCCATCTCAACTGTTTTGTGTTCTCTCTCTCTCTCTCTCTCTCTCTCTCCTCCCCTCCCCTCTCTTTTCTTCCCTTTCTGATGTTGTTTGCATGTGTGTGTATGATGTAAGGGCAAGAATTCAACCTTAAAAACCCTAATTGAAGTGACACCTGGCTCAGGACATTTCTAGGTCCCCTAAAGGAAGGGCTCGGCCCTACCTTTGTTACAGCTCTTACTTCCCTTTTCTGATGTAACCCAGGAAGCCTCCTGGGCCTTCCTTCTCTTGCAGGTCCCATTGGGAGGGGGCTCTTTTCTGTCTGTCCAGTGGGTCCCATGCCAGGCTCACTGCTCTCCTGAGGGTGTGACAGGAGGATGTGCACAGGAAGTGTACAGCCCTGCCAAGTCTTCACCCTGGAAGGAAGCCAGCTCACCCCTCACCCTCGTGAAGCAGAATGACCCTCCACATGCTCCCCTCTTTTGCATCTGAGTACATGAGCAGGCAACAGTGAGATGTAGAGGGGCGTTCCTCCAGACCGCAGTGACCTCGGGCCCAGACAGATGGGCCCGGCCCCAGCTGCCCCTGTGAGCATCGCAGATGTAAGGAAGTGTCCAGCAGAGGCACAGTGGGCCCATCTGACCTTCAAGGTCTGCCTGGGAAAGCTATCCTTTTAATAAAAGTAACAGATAAATATGGCTATTATGGTTATTGTGAACGTTCTAATAAGCTCACCGTTAGTCACTGGCATCCCCCAAGTGCCCAGTATACTTGGTACACTCCTCCATCCCTGGGAAAGCAGGCCAGAGACCCCTCAGCTCAGGCCATGTGGAGCAGCCACAGGCCCAGCTAGAAGTATGTCTGGCCCCAGAGCCAGCCCTGACCTCAACTGTGCAGGCACAGCCAATCACTGACAAGCGTTTTCAGAACAGATGACCCTAATCCCCATCACAGTCTGAGCGCTTATGAAGAGAAGCAGATGCACCAGGAAAGAGGGAGGGCACCTGCGACTCAAACTTCCTCACCCTTCCGTTACTGAAGGCAACATTAAATTGGATCCAAACCCCATCTCTACCAACTAAAGGAATTTAGGCTTAAGCGCTAGATTTTTATGTCATTATTTGTAAAGTGTATGCATGTATTTAACCAGTGCTCACTTAAACATTTTAACAGTATGAAATCAGCTTTCTAGAACACAAACTCAGTTTGGGATCCTTAGGAAATTGGGGTCGGACTTCGGGGGGGGGGGGTGCTGATCTCGCCTTAAAGGAAAAGGCTCCAGCAGGACGGGGGATGGGAGTGGGAGGTGGGTGGGTGGGGTAGGGTGTCGATTCCTCAGTCTGCCCTCTAGTGGCTCAAGAGCTTATACCGGGTGCAGTGCCTGATTGTTTCCATCTTCCTTCTGCTTCTGAGCTTAGAGACCACTTCATTTTCATTCAGACCCAGTTCCACCGAATTCTGTACTATGGTGTGTCTTTCACACACACACACACACACACACACACACACACACACACAGAGGGAGAGAGAGATGGAGAGACAGAGACATACACAGACATGCACAGACATACACACAAACATAGACACACACACAGGAAGACCTACACACATGTAGAGACACACACAGGCAGACACACAGAGACAGGCACACACACAAAGAGACACACAAAGAGAGACACAGAGAGACATATAGACACACAGAAAGAAGTATGGAGACGCACAAACAGACACACCCAAACACAGACAGAGACACACCTTGTTAGACTTAAACTTAGCATTGTCAGTGCCCCCGCCAATGACGTCAGTCTCCAGGAAGCTTCCAGATGGCCAGAATGCCACATGTCAAAATGTCTGT